GTAGCAGCAAGGTGGCAATCTGCATCCCTTTATTCCATTCTCTCCCCGTCCCCCAGGCGCGGCTGTGCCGCGATGCTGTGCTGTGCTCCTTGCTGAGCAGGTGAAGAGGAGCGGTAGGGTGTCCATTAACCTGTGTTCCATTTCAGACCAAAAGGCAACAGTCACTTGAAGGACAGGAGAGCGTCAATACCTGAGTGGGGAGAGCAGGAGGTTTTTGGCTCTTATCCCCTCAGTAAAGGAAGGATTGAAGCCATTGTCCCAGAGCCACAGCAGGGTTGCTGGGAATGGCTTTGTCATGGCTTGGGTGGGACTCAAGGTACCTGATGCCAGACCAGGTGAAGGAACAGAGGAACGTGATTTGGCTGCCATAGAGCAGGTGTTTTATGGCTGCTGCTGGACCTTGGGCTGCACCATGCAGGAGGAAGGTTGCCGTTAGGTGGGCGGCCTCACTGGAGACCGTAAAGGGCACAGTCAGGGCGAGGAGCAGCGGTGTGTGCGGTAGGGTCTTGTTCTGTTGCACCATGTCTGCTATGCTGCCAGGGTAGGGGTTGGATAATGGCATACATAGTGGGATGAATAGTTTTTGCTTATCTGTAGGTTTCATTTGATGGTTTGTGTATGATCAGTTACTTTGGAAGGAGGGGCTGCCGTTAGTTGTGAAGTAAGTGGTCCACGGAGGAGGTGCAGGTAGTGACGTCTCGTTCAGCCTGATCCTGTGTGATCCTCGGGAGCACCGGTAACACTGCCTGGCTAAGGCTGTGCAAGTCTGTTTCCAGTAGATGGCAATGGTTATTTGGATCTGAAATTCTGTGTTTAAAGAAAAGATCTCTGCGGCCAGCTGCTCACAGGGCAAGCTCCCTCTCCAGCTGCTCTCTGATGTGGCTTTAATTCAGATGGCGCCTGTGCTGCACCAGCATTGCCTCTGTGTCAGCGCCCGGCTCTCACCGTGCCGCCGTAATTCCCTTGTGGTGCCTGCTGCCTCCTTTCCTGCTCCTCTCGGTGCTGGCTTGCAGCAGGAGCTGCGGGACAGGGCTGGCACCACCAGCCACCAGTACTGCAAGCAAAACACAGGGCAGAGCAGGACAGGCAGGGACGGTGAGGTGCTGAAGGAGGGAAGTTTAAAAATACAAGCCTGCCTTTTACAGTAAGCTACCTCCTGCTCAATGCTGCTGCTGTCCTCCATCCTGCCTGAAATGCAGTGTTCTCAGCCCTGGCCCCTGCCCTGCCCAGGTTCTTCTGGCTCCTTCAATTGAAATGCTCGTGACGGGGCAAGAGAATGGAAATTGAGTTTTTCAGCTTAAAACAGCTGAACTGCCCCTTTTTCAGGCTGCATCCCAAGCTGTCTCTCCCTGCCAGCCCCCAAACTTCAAATGAGAAGCAATGGTGCCCTGAGGAGCAGTCACAAAGGTTAATAGAATAAAAATACTGGCCTCTGGACATAGTTTTTGGCCAGATGTTGGTGTCCATGTATGTTGTGTAATGCATGAACAGCAAGGTGAGGGATCTGGGCAGTGCAAGACACACATAAAAGAGATCTGGTGTGTCCCAAATGGAGCATTTTATTAAGTGCAGGCAGATATTGATGCAGCCAGCTTTGTGTTGGGGACAAGGGGCTAAACACCTTAAAATTCATCAAAATGCTGTCTGGATGGAAAAAAAGATGCATTTAGGGAAAATAGCTCAGCCAGGCAGTGTGTACAGCAATTTAAATGAGAGGGTGGAGCACTGGAGGTTACTGGTTCTCCTCCTGTTGGGAATACTCTTCTCCAGATTTTTCAAAAATTGCTTACATCAGATAATGTCCTGAATTGCTGTTTGCATGATTATATAGGAGAATATCTAAAGTATTAAATAGTTCTTCACCATCTCTCTTAAGAAGATGATTGTTAAGTACTTCATGGCTTATTCTTGATGCGGCTTTGTTCTCAGTATAATTATAAAATCCCTCCTAGCAAATAAGAGATTATAAATAAATTTTTTTGGTTACCTGTGTAATGTCTTCTGAACTAAAGAAGTCAGCTGAAAGCTGGGAACTTTTTGTTTCTCAGCTATACTTCAGGCTTCTGTTAATTGGTGTAGTTACATGTAGCATTTACTTTTAGCTATAAAGATTGAAAATGTTGCATTGCCCTGCTGCCTGCTTCCAGGTGTCTTTGAGAGGACAAGTACTGTACCTGGGGAGTTCTTCGGCAAAGGTGATGTACTTTTAGAAATACCCACTTTTTTTTTTTTAAATAAGACAGAAAAAAAACCCCTTTTTAAAGCTATTCAGTTACACCAAGATATTTAACCATAGTTTTACAAGGAGGCTTTGTCAGCTATCCTGACACTAATGTTTCAAGACAAGTGGTTGCGCAAGAGGGACATGGGATGTTCCCTGTGCCAACAAGCCCTTGAGGCTCCGTAAGTGGGTCCTGTGCAGTACCAGTGTGGTCCAGCCAGCCATCCATCCAGTGCTAGTCAAGGACTGGATGTGCAACATCGGTATCTCCTACACAACTTATGCCCGATGTCTTCACTAGCCAGATGCAGCTAAAATAAAACAGAGACACTTTACCAGTGAAACAGTGTTTAATATAGTTAAATTACTTAAATAGATTTCAATTTCCATGGGAAATCATAACTGTATCCATTTTTGCAAGATCCAGAGTAAAGAGTGTGTGAATACCCCTTGAAATGATCATGACACACTGTCAACAATCACAGCTAGAGATACTGGGGACTTGAAATTTCATTGACAACACAACTTCATAAGATGAATCAAAGGTTAAGAAGACCGCAGACTTTCGTAAAGCAGAAAGCAAACCTAAAAACCGAGTGTGTGGCATGAAGGTAATGAAACTCACTGATGGGTAAAAGGGATGGAAGGTGGAGGTGGGGGAGAGAGGCATAACAGCGTGATGCAACTTAAATATTTTGCAAACCAGGAAAGATGTAAAGGAGCAAAAGTATAGTACAAGGGCAGACTTGGCAGTTTTACAGAAGTCAATATACTATACTTTTCAGCGATGTTTCCTAGTGGAAGGGGGGAGGAAAGGGGCGATGCCATTTAAACTCATGTTTAAATGGCTTAATGCTCAGGTTATGCTTAGCAATATGGCAAAGTAATTAAGACAGGCCCATGGATTATCACTTATTCTCGTTGTCGACTAGGAAAAAATAAATCACCACCACCATAGTGCAATCATTAAGCTGTTAGTACTACAATAATTCTGCCCTGAGAAGAGTGGAAAAGAACTTTATTAAATGTCAAAAGATTGGAGTCATTTTTAGTGCTAGCCAAATTCAATATCAAAACTTTCCCCTCATAGAATATAAAAAATATAGCTTTTTTAAAATTATTTTTTTAATAAAATATCAAGGGATTTTTCTTTAATAGTTAAAAAAGGTACATAAATGATAACAGTGAACTATTCATAAACCCCCCAGTAGTGATAAAGATGTCCAACACAATATCAGTGGCACTGTATTTTAAGCTCGACCACCTCATATACACGTTTACCATCATCATCTTTTTTCTGAAGATCACCTAATTCCTGAAAAATGAAAATCTGTGACTCAGTTTAAATAAGTGCCAACTACAGAAAAGTCAACTCGATCCTGCAGTATGTAATTCTTTGTAATGTCAAATGGCAGTTACAATATCAGACAACTCTCATATCAGCAGGATTCTATTAAGACCATCTATGAAAAGTAATTTTTTTAAAGAAAAGTTCAAATGAGCTTAGTTTTTTCCTCTTCTTATAAGAGCTCCCGTTACAGTTAGAAGATTTGCTCAGAGCTCTTTTTAACATGTTTGACTGATACCGTCTCAGTAGCTTAAAACTCAAAGGTCCTGTTTCCATTTGTTAAGACACCACCCTGTGCTTGAATGCTGCATGGAACAACTGTGTGACTACCGCGTTTTGGTTTTTTCCTCTTCTTTGGGGTTGTAGATTTTTCTGGACTTTCATTTTAAAATGCATCTTGGAAACTCACCTGTTTGTTGTTGGTTGATTGTATAATGATTATCTGAAAACTGCCAAGTCTGTGTTCAGAGTATTATACACACACAAAAAAATACACAAAAGCCTACAGGTTATATACACCTCCCACCACACCTTGGTGTGGACAGCCTGCCTTCTAATTTATATATAATTTACAAAATATAGAATTTGGTATATCTGTTAGATCTCCATGTTTTCAATATTACAAAATAAAAAATACAAAAAAACCCACAACAAATTTCAGGGGAGTTCCCCCCACAAAGTGTCTCTTGTTTACATCTAGTCTTTCCCATGTAAACTGATATATACCAAAGAAGAGCACAGGAGACTTCTTAATAAATATGGTTGTAGAGCCATCTTTCTTTATCATGATCTTCCCTTTCATCAGATGTGCCAGCCCCACTCATAAGAGCAGTCATTTAGCCACGTAGAAGAAGGGAAAAGAGGGGGCTAGAGCCATCATGTCTTTTCACATGAAAACATTACCTATGCCCTTCGAAAAGGCCTTTTTGTGTGCTGCAACAGTGGGTGTCAATTTTGAAAGCCCATTCAAAACAGCTAATAAAAGCACAGTGGTACACTTCAAATAGCTGGCAGTATGGGATGGAAACATTATGGGAGTGCAAATCCATTCCAAAATAATGCTTTGTAGTGAATCATACATTCCTTCAACCAAGTAAATGTTGTGTTGCGTCAATAAATACTTAAATAGCTTCTTATATCATCCTGTGGTAGCAGCCTTTTTTAAACATTCCAAATTCACGTCGTTTCTGTGAACTCTGTAGTACACATCTTTGGTCGATTTAGCACTCTGCCAGGAACTACTCCAAGGTGGATTCTTTCTATTGCCTTTCATGATGGGTGGCCAAAGAGTTTGCTGATACCAGTTCTAGAGTCACGGTGTGAAATTACAGCTGCGCTGCGTTTTCAGCTTCACTGACAAAAAGTGATTCTTCTCTGATTCACGATCTTGGGTAATATAAATTCCATCTCTGAGTGACACTGCAATCAGTGCTAACTAATCGGAGGCCCTTCATTTAGAAAGTAAGTGGTCATTTCTCCTTTGCCTTTGACCTTTATGACCCCTCGATATTCCAGCTGATAGTTGTTGGCTGCTAAGACCTGGTACATGTCTGTAGTTACCTGCGGAAGAAACAAGAGTCAGCAGATGCTTGTCATGCCTTCCACACAGCTGTTTCTTTTGCTTTTGGAGTAATCCATGGACAAAATTAAAGCAGGATCAACTACTTTGTTTACAAGCAAGTTGACTTTTGCATATCAATCACTAAAAGCTTGGCACAAGTTGCAGAAAAAAAACCCACAACCGTTAGAAACTGAAACTACAGAAGTCACTTGGGGCACATAGTTTGAGGAGAGCCACATTTTTCAAGGAGGTCACAGAATAAAAAGAAATTCGTCACATTTTTACACATGCACCTGGCAGTTCAGGATGCTCAGATGCATTCATTGTATCACTGGAGTGGTAGTAGGAAAATGGGTTAAAAATATTCTAAAAGTCCTCAAAAAATGGCTTAAAAATTATACAGTGAATGGGTAATTTAGAAGGTGTCATTCAGGGGTTTGTTTTTATGGAAGAGAAGGTAATGGGCAAGGAGAAAGACTGAACAAATGGAATAATGTAGCCAGCATGCAAATTCCTTGGGCAAATGCCATTAAAAAAATAACAACTTGTGCTGCAGAATAACAGAAGGTTAAATACCAGGATTCCTGAGATATTTATTACAATGTATTTTCTCATCCTTTTTCAGGTGACTTTAAATACTGTCACTTCTGGCTTCCTATTGCTGTAACATTGCTCTGCTGATTCACTTAACTAGAATAAAAATTGTTCACGGCTTGTCTTGTAGGAAGGTTTAAAGCTGTTGGATAAATATTGATCCAGTTAAGTGACAGCTTAATTGGAAAGAAACAGCATGGCTTCCTCTCTGGGGTCTTAAATCAGTTAGTCTAACTATTTTTACGTCCCTTCAGTATTTTCCCAAGGAACCTGACAACCTGTTACTGTGGACGGCAAAAGCAGGACAGTGGAACTGAATCCCTGCTTGAAGGCCAAGGAGATGTCTGATTACAAGACAGTTTCCATTAACCCCTTCAACTGTTCTCTTTCTCTAGTTATATATCCCTGTCCTGCTGATGCCTGGATCTTTGCTAGCTTCACAACACATGGCATTGTGAACAAAGAGGTGAATTACAGAAACACGTGTCTGAATCAAGCCCTTGGAAAATAAAGCAACCTACAGTTGCACGTAGCTGAACAGCAAAGCCAGCATCATGAGTGAGTAAGCATCCCAGCAGGACTGTGCTCATAGTGCCAATGAGGCACTCGAGGAAGGAAACTCAGCTCAACTCTTCCACCCAGAACTAAACTGCACATTTTTGACCAAAGGTTACAAAGTTGGCCAAGATTAAAAGGCAAAACTTGATGATACCACTAGCACTTCCCAATTGGCTTTCCTTTCAGGACTGTGTCAATAAATGTATGACATAAAGGAATAAAATGAAACCAAAATTACGGTTCTAATTGTTTCCAAACCTGTAAGTGGCACAGGACTGGCAGTGTAGTTTTCCAGTGAATTCCTCACCTGAATCCTGTCGGGCACACCTGTACTGTCCATCCGGCTGGCTACATTCACTGTGTTGCCCCAAATGTCATACTGGGGTTTGCGTGCTCCTATCACCCCAGCTACGACAGGACCAATATTGAGGCCTGGAAGGAGAGGAGAAATCCCACAACACTCAGATCAATCACATATGAACCACATGAAGCTTGAGGCAAGTTATTTTTCAGACAATAAAAACCATCCTGATTTCCATTCGGTGTAGCTGTGCTTTACCCTGAGGTGTAAAGCTACAGCCAAGCTGCAGGGAAAGAAACTCTAAAGAAAAGCTGGATTCTCTGATCTATTATGCCTGTCCGAGGGGCAGTACAGGCTGGGTCTGCTCAACCCAGAGCTACTTTCCAGCACCAGATAACAGGATAAGGTTTATTTGCCGTCAGGCTGCCAAGCAAACCACTCACTTGGAAGCCAGCACACAGCTGCTGCAATGCTGAGTGTCTGCAAGGCAGCAGCCCGGCGGCCTTCCAGAACAAACACCACATTTGACATCCTCACATTTCTTCTTGTTCTCCTTTTCTGTCTCTTTTTATTCCCTGACTTGAAAGACAATTTAATGTCCAAGAATGGCAGAGCCAGAGACCACAGGGGGTGTTGGCAGAGAGCACATCACAGGCAAAATGAGCCCAAGCTCAACCACCATGTGAGACCATGCTGTGGTAAGAGCTTCTCTGCACCAAGGTTGGTTGCCCAGCTGTTCCTAATGCTCCAGTGAGCTTCAGCAATCAAGCTGCTACCCTAACAAACCTGCTCTGATGTTTCAGAGAGGCCAGAGTGGTCACCAGGCAGAAGACAACATCACTGTACAGCTAAGGTAACATCGATGGTTTTTACCCCAGCTCAGAATGACCACTGCTGATACTTTAATCCTGTAAACACAGTGCCATTACCTATCTTCATCTGGAAGTTGTTGAATGAGTGTTCATTAATATATTTCATTTGGTCCATTAACCTCATGGCAAAGTCTGCCAGAGCTTTGATATGCGTCTTCCCCTCCTTGTCGTAAGTGGAATCGTTGAGGCCTGAGGCAGCCATATAGGTACTGCCGATGGTCTTGATCTTCTCCAGCTGCCGAAATTGGTCTTCACTTATTATCTGTTTCACAAGAGAAGAGCAAAAGAACAAATAAACCTTGACAAACACATACGTGTTGGTAATGTCCTTGCCACATGTCCTCCCTTGGTGCAAGCACTACAAAGTACTGGACAGAGCCTCCACTACTCAAAGGATAGGAAGAAAGGGGCTTAGGTGTTCAGAGAAGTGGCAAGGGAATAAAAGAAATTTTAATGTGAAAAAAAGAATTGACTTCTAGAGCAAGGAGAAATGAACCATGGCACAAGGATTCAATAAGCCACCTTCCTTCAGGAACTCAGCAAAGCCCAACTAAACTCATTGATTCGGTTCACTTTGTCCACCCAGATTTTCTGTGACTCACTTCATCAAAATCGGCAATGATCTCGTTGAGCAGTCTCAGACACTCCACCCCTTCGTTGTTGGCCTCCAGCTCCACGTAAAACTCTGAGAAGTTGCTTATGGAGGCGAACATGACAGCCACGCACTCACAGGACTGGTAGTACAGTTCATCATTTCGCCGCTCCTGAGCCAAGAAATGGGCTGCCACGTCCTTCGGCAAAATGTTGTGGAGGAGGCGTCTGTTGTAGGCCTGCAGCTCCTCCATTTCCTCTTTCTCTTCAGTGGCCTAGTTTAAGAGGGAGAGACAGTGATGTGCTTACTCTTTTGGAAGCTGCTCTAGAGGGGGGAAAAGGCTGAAAATGAACTTGCAAGTATGACGGAAATGGAAAAAAGGGGGAAACTGCAAAGGAGGGCAGAACCAGAGAGATGCAGAAACGTGTTCTGCAGTGGAACATGGTCTATTTGTGCGCACATATGTGTGCAAAAGCCAAACAGTTTCCCTAAGGGCAGGCACAGAATAACACCAGAAACTGATGGTGTTACTTTTCTGGGCCCTGAATTGGGTAACCTGCACAAGGTCTGTTCCTTTTGGGGAACTCCACTGCCACCCATGAACAGGCACACTTGGCTTTCCCAGTCAAGCACAACAGGTTTGAGGAGGACAAAGCCAGCTCAGTCATTGCTTAAGTCTGACTGCATGAGTGGCAATTATAATCCTCTCTCTGTGCCCCCCCAAATGTTCATGTAGCTAAATAAAAGGACCCTCCTTTTCCACAAGGTTTGCTGAGGTGCAGTGATGGTTGTGAAGTACAGTTACCATGGAGTCCATGAAACAGGCCAGTCCCACACTCTGGAGAGGACTTTTCACCTCCTGTGGTGGTGGGGGTATGTCCAGGCAAAGGGAAACACGAGGAGGATGTGTTGTCTTGATTCTGTGCTAATGGGTGTGGATTTGGGTTTAATGCTCAGATTGAACCAGGGCTTCAAGAAGGATATACCTAGGCCACCTAGGAGGTACCTATGCCTAGGGGACTAAAATAAAACAAACTTTGAGAGTTCACTCAATTGCTCAGACTTCAGAACCAGATTTTATTTCTCTTTGCAGACTTGCACAGTACCAGCATAACCTCAATTCATTGCTTCTGGTTTGTAGGTAAAGGTACAGAGGTGTGTGTACTGATCACCTCTCTCTCCTCCATTACCTCATGGCAGCAGTATTTTCCCCCCTTGTTTTACTTTTTGCCATTTTGACTATTTCTGAGCAAAGGAAAAACCAGGGTCAGTCAAGGACTGGGGGAGGCACAGCTGAGACAGGGCTCACGTGGAGTCGTTCAGCTTACAGGAGCCCAAAGAGCTGCCCTGTGTACAGGACCCTCCGCTTCAGCAGAGGCACCAAGCAAAATGTGCAGCCTTTTGAAAGAGGTCTTCAGATCTTTTTTTTCAATGACTTTCATCATTGCTGGAGGGCTGGAGTCAAAAAAAGGAAAGACTTGCCTGGTGCATTTGGGCCTTGGTGTGGACGAACACAGCTCAGCCAAACTCTCCAGCCCTCACTTGGTGAGGGGAGAAGGGATAACCTCCCCACATCCCCTAAGTACCTGCTGGTAAAGGCACAAGCAGTACTTGCAAAGCACTTACATCTTTGCTCATGGATGCTGGTTTCTGAAACAGGACATTTGAAACTGGAAATGAAGTTAATGAGGAAGAACCATTTAGAAGGGGATATGTCTGGACAGAACAAGGAAAACCCTTGGCTCTGCCTGGGGAAACAAATGCTTTGGCCAGTTGAGCCCAGACCTAGAACAGGTAAGTTGGCTCATCCCTTCCATTGTTTTGCCATTTATAAATGAGGATAACAATGTTTATCTGCTTTCCAAGGAGCTTTAATTAATTGGTGCTTCCTCAGTGCCTCCTACTCAAACCACTGAGACCTATTATTAGAATGATGTCCTGCCATCCGGTAGTTAAAAAAATCTACAGAAAACCTGCAGTCCTGCAATCCCTCAGCTATGGGTCCCGGGCAGAGCTGAGACCTCTCCTGCTTGCTTGAGAATCACCTATGATGCCCCAACGTGACTCGTGGGCACAACTAGTGAAACCATTAATGCTGAACCCCGGGACATGAGCAAAGCGTGGCATTATCCGTAGAGTGTTGGTTTTCCAGTGCTGCTGCCTAGGGGCTAAGGAAGGTTGGGCAGAAAGCCAGTTCCCATTGCTTAACAAGAAAGTGAATGAAAATCCAAATGTGAATCTTTCACACCTCTGAACACAGCAAACTAAGTCTCACTGAGCTCTGGGAAATAATTCAGCAGCCAATACAAGCTTCTTATATTTACAAATCATGTTATGTTACAGGTTCCTGCAACAGTGACAGGCTCAGTTGCCCAAGTTCATTAACCTTGATCTTCCAATCTATAACCTTTTATTGTGGGGACCATCCAAAGTGCATTTACAAGGAAACAAGGGGTTAAAGTAAATAACCAGGATAAGAAGCACTGAGTTAGCAAAGTACCGAGAAGACCACAACATTACTAGTATGCCCAGTTATATGCCAGATCCAGATAAAATTCAAAGGCACTTGACAGCTGACAAGTTTTCTCCTCAATTTGACAGTGACTAGTTCAGTAGTTTTATATTAACGCCAATGACTACGTGCCTTCCTGCAACACAGCAAACGCTCACTAACCTGGAGTTTCCAGAGGAAATCAAGCCTTGCAGTGGATTCCACTTGCTGGGCATGCAAGTACAGCGCCAGGACAAAGACAGTGATGATGACAGGGGTCACAATCTTCAACGCAACTCGTGTCATGGCTGGAGAGCTGCAGCCAG